CTCTCACATTCCAAAGAAGCCACAGGACTACTCTGTGTTTTCCATCAATCTTTATTTGCCTTATTTTGCCCACAAACTTCCTCCCTTTCTAAAGCACTTTTCCCTCATCTTCCTGAAGATGCCCTGTCTCTCACCTTATTCTCTCTGCTTTTGTTTTGGAAGGCTGGATTTGCTCTGGAATCCATTTACAAGGTGAAGTTGAACTAGCAGGGACTCCCAAAAAGCAACATTTCACAATGGAGCTTCAGGAGCATTGCTCTAGACGCTTTATTTAAAGACACCTTCAGTAGCAGAGAGGAGGTGACAGAGAGAACAGAGCCTGTGAAATTGAAGCCTTCTTCAATCCATTACTGCAGAGAGCAGTGCAAGAGGAGGCAATAAAACTGCAGCTGCACAGGAGCTCTGGTCCAAGAAACATCACTCACTATGACAGATCTTCAGGCAGTAATGCTGTACAGAAGCTCTTGCAATGGAATACACCATGAGCATGACAAGGGGCAAGATGAGGAGCAGAAAAGCCAGCATCCCATGGGAGGGCTGCCCACCAGCAGTCAAGGAGGAATTCTGCCACTTGCTCAGTGCCAATGGATGTTGCATGTGCTGAGCGCCCTTCAACAGCTATGCCTGTGCCCCAAGCAGCTCTCAGCCCTGGGCTCTGAAGGACCTGTGCTCAGGTGAGAACCCACAAAACTCAACACTGATGCAAGAAGACATGTCAAGTATACCCAGACATGCGTCCAAATGACTCCAGATTTCTTAAAATGCTAGAAAACTGCAATCCAAACTGAGGAATAAAAGGGATGTCTTGCTTGTTCTGGCTTTCTTAGGAAAAACAGTTGCTCATAAGTCTCAGATACACGTCCCCAGCACAAAGCAGGCATCAAAAGTTTCCGCCTGTGTTCATAGAATCATAGAATGGTTTGTGTTGGAAGGGACCTTAAAGATCATCCAGTTCCAATCCCCTGCCATAGGCAGGAACACCTTCCACTAGAGCAGGTTGCTCCAAGCCCCATCCAACCTGGCCTTGAACACTGCCAGGGATGGGGCAGCCACAACTTCTCTGGGCACCCTGTGCCAGCACCTCAGCACCCTCACAGGGAAGAGCTGACTAATGCCTAATCTAAATCTCTCCTCTGTCAGTTTAAAGCCATTTCCCCTTGTCCTGTCACTACCTGCCCTTGTAAAAAGCCCCTCTGCATGTCTGCCTCATGCCACCGGGAACAAGAGTCATTACTTCTTACAGTCACCCAGCCTTGTATCTTCAGACCAAGCTTTAGCAGTTTATTTCCTTCTTCTGGAGGTCTCCCAGTTAGTCTACAGTACTATTATTTGACTGCCAAACAAAACAAAACACCAAATCAAACAAACAGCATTTTGTCTTTGGGACTATGTTTAGTTTCTCCATGCAAATTGTCCCAATGTCAACAACTGGTAATAACAATTTTAAATATGCTACTCCAAAATGTCATGAATTTTAAGAGCTCTGGAAGTGGTCAGCAGCACTTGCAGCCAAACCAGCAAGAGAGAGGCCCTGCTAACAGCAAATTTGAGAGTAAAGACATAGGTAAAAGCATGTATTTCTCTTGCATAAATGGACAAGGGGAGGGGGAAACTAAAATAAACCCCAGCTTTGCTTTGGAATTAACCAGCATGAGACAGAAGTTATGAAAGGAAAAAAGTGTATTAATAAAAAACCCCAACAAGCAGAAGGATAAAGCGTGCATGGTACTGTTTATAAAAAGACCAAAGGCCTGTCTTGCCTGGGCTTGTCGCTTTTCTCCTCAATACACATACTTTACTCTGATTCCTGACTCAGGGCTGCAATCTCCACTCACTGAGAGGCTTCTGGCGCCCTGATCACAAACCCAGCCTGCTGCAGCAGGAACCTTCCTGCTTTGGGCTCCTCCAGCAGTGTCCTGAGTGTTTAAAACCAGGAATTACCCTCACAGTAATCCTTCCCCCTTAAACTGTCAGAAAGCACCAGTAATTGCTACCAGCAAGGCTCATGATGAGGGAAGTCCCCCACAAACTGGCCCAGAAAACACTGTGCGTCATGCACGGTCCACAAAGATGCTAGAGGAATGAGAAGTCAATCTCCCCAAACCAGCCAGCTCCACAGCAAAGCCAGCCCTGGGCTGGGAACCACAGGATCCCCCTCACCTCCCATGGACAGCCTGAGGGAACAGCAGTTTTAGACACTGGGTGTTGAGGTGCTTTTCCTGCCCCTGGGTTGGGGCAATCCCAAGCGCAAATACAGTCCAGGCAGACACCAGATTGAGAGCAGCCCCGAGGAGGACTTGGGGGTGTTGGTTTACGAGAAGCTCAACATGAGCCAGCAGTGAGCTCTTGCAGCCTAGAAACTAACCGTGTCCTGGGCTGCATCGAAAGGAACATAAGCAGCAGGTCAAGGGAGGGATTCCTCCCCCTCTACTGCTTTCTAGGGAGACCCCCCCCTGCAGTCCTGCAACCAGCTCTGGGGCAACAGCACAAGAGTGATGTGGAGCTGTTGGAGCGAGTGGAGAAGAGGCCACAGAGATGATCAGAGGCCTGAAGCCGCTCTGCTCTGGAGCCAGGCTGAGAGACCTGGGCTGGTTCAGCCTGGAGAAGAGAAGGCTCCTTAAGGGGAGACCTTAGAACAGCTTCCAGTGCCTAAAGGGGCTACAGGAAACCTGGGCAGGGACTTCTCACAAGGGCATGTAAGAGGACAAGAAGGAATGGCTTTAACAGCCAGAGGGGAGATTGAAATTAGACATTAGGAAGAAACTCTTTACTGTGAGAGTGGTGAAGCACTGGCACAGGGCGCCCAGAGAAGCCATGGCTGCCCCATCCCTTGCAGTGCTCACGGTCAGGTTGGATGGGGCTTGGAGCAATCCACACTAGTGGAAGGTGTCCCTGCCCATGGCAGGGGGCTGGAATTGGATGGTCTTAAGGTCCTTTACAACTCAAACCATTGCACAATTCTACAAACCCTAAAGCATGAGGGAACAGCAGCTTCCCCTGGTCCTCCTTCTCCACATCACTGCATGACCAGACAACTCAGCATCTAGCCAAGAGCCAGGGCAACCCTCAGCATCTCCCATAGCTCCTCAATGTCACCATCCTTCCACTGGCCACACCAGCAGCCCCAACACTTGATCTCTTTGCAGACTCCACGTGCCTGAAGAGCCCCACATCGCCCAGCCACACACTAAGCGGCTATTCTTAGAGCAGGAGCACCTTTGCTCCAAGCACCGCTTGCAAGGGACGAACACACATCACCCGAATACTTCCATTTCCGATTGCAGCTTGCGCTTGAAACCAAACAAACCGCACTGTCCTCATCAGGCACGCACGTCCATGGTGGGGTTTATACACAGGGCATTAGAAAGTTGAAAGAGTCATTTCCCTTTCCACTTTCATTGCTTATAATCTCCATTCAGTGCATGAACGGAAATTTAGGGGACATAAATATGCCCAGCCTGGCTCCACTGATCTCACAGGGAATCAAACGTCACCAGCAGGACCGGATCCAAGGGGGCTGCTGGATATTTGGGGCTCCTCAGCTGCTCAACAGAACACTGAGCAGCACCTGCAGCGCTGGAAAACAACCCTCTCTCCGCCAGGTCCGGGTGGTTTTTAAGCTGGTTCTGCCAGTTCTCCTCCCATTAATGAGAAGCATTAATCACTGGGAAAAGAGGAAGCAACCCTGAGCCAACAGTTTTGCCCAGGGGCCAGTTTTCTGTTTGTTTTGGGTTTGGTTTTTAATGGATCTGATACGGGATGCTGGAGGCATCTTCCCTTCCCCTTTGGAATATGCCAAGGGATATACGAACCGGGCTTAAAAAATACAGGTATAAAAATCACGGTCTTCGAGAGCGTCTGCAAAGAAGCCAGAATGAGTCAGTAAGTTAATGGGGAAAAACGCCAAAACCCACGAATTTGGGGAAGTTTTTCCACACGAAGCGCCCTGGCTGAGCGGTGCAAGGGCAGCAACAACGCCGTGGCCCCGGGGGATGCTGCAGGCAGGGTTCCGCTGCCGCGGGGGCGCTCCCACTGACCCGGCTTTCGCCCCGCTCCGCTGCGGGAGCCCCGCGCTCCGGCCCCGGCCCCGGCCGCCGACCCGGCCGCCCCTCACCCCCCGCCCCGGTGCTGCCGCGGGCTCCCGCCGCCCCGCCCCACGTTCCACTGTGGCTCCCGCCCCGCCCGCCCATTGGCCGCCGGCCCCGTCACTCACCGGCCCCGTTAACGGCCGAGCGGGGCGGGGGGGGGCACACACAGCGCTGAGGGGAAGGGCGGGCGCAGCCGCGGCGCGGGCGGGAGCGGCGGGGACGGGCCGGGCCCAGCGCCGCAGGGGAAGAGAAGGGGGGGACCGGAGGGGGGCAGCGCTACCTGAGCCCGCGGGTCGTGTCCGCGCTGCTGGCAACCCCTCAGCCGGGCACCGCTCGGCCGGGCACGGCTCGGCCGGACCTTCCCCCGTCTCCCGCCCCGCCGCACTCCGCAGCCATTTTCGTGGCCACCTTGGCTACCAGCGGGGCTGACTCACCTCGGCGCTGCGGGCGCGGGGGGCCCGCCTCGGCGTCGGGGGGCCCGGGGAGGGGGAGCGGGGAGAGCCCGTCTGGCTGCGCCCTCCCACCCTCCCCGCCGGCCCCGCTGGCTAGTCCCAGGCGAGGACGGGTCCCGGGGCCGGGCCGGGCTCGGCGGAGGCGGCGGCGGCGGCTCCCTCCCTCCCGGCCGTGACCACCATCTTATTAGCACAGGAAATGACATGGAGAACGGAAGAGAGGGGCGTTCGGGGGCCGAGCCCGGGGACCCCCCGAACCGGGGGGAGGCGCCGCCGGCCCGCCCGGCCCGGCCCGGCTCGGCCCGTCAGGGCTCTCCCGGGGCCGCGGTGCTCCCGCCTTGCCTCCGAGCACCGGGGTGGAAACAGAGGAGGGTATAGAAATGATAACAACAAACCCTAAAAGCCGCACAAAGCAAGGGGAATAAAAGGGAAAAGCCGAGCGAACCCAACCCGGTCCCACCTCCTGCTCCGGAGCCGGCGAGTTCCGCGCGGAGCCGGTGGCGATCTGCGGCCGGGGGCTCGGGGGGGCTGTGAAGGACAAACCCCGCCGCCCGGGCGGCCCCGGGGTAGAGCGGAGGGGAGACACCCGCGGGGCTCCCCTCCGGGCGCTGCCGCGGCCACCACCTGCCGCCGCTCGGCAGCCGCCCGAGCGGGACCGGGAGCGGGATGGAGCCGCCCGCCTGTGGGGACAGCGCTAGGACGTGCCCCGGGGCTCCGCTGCTAGCCGGGGGGAGAGTCCGACTGTCCCCCGGGTGGCCCCGCTCCCCCCGGTGGAGCCCCGCCGGTGCGCGGCTGCGCTCGCCTCTTCGGAGCCTCATGCCCTTGTGCGAGCGAGGAGTGGATGTGGAAACGCGGTGTTTGCCCTGCGCTTAGAGCAAGGCTGTATTAACTCTTCCACCTTCCCCCCCCCCCGCCTTAAAAAGCAATCCATCCAACGGCAATACAACAGCCCCTTCCCCCGAGCTCCGCGCAGGGATTACATGAGGGATGACAAAAAGTAGGCATAATTTAATAAGCAGAGGAAGCATGTCTCACCAATAAACCAAATTCTAAATAAAACCATCTGCGAGCGTTAAATGCGAAACAATGCAAACTCCTCCGCTGCTTTGCCAAAAGAGGCGCAGCAGGGGGTAAAGAAAGGGATGGTTAAATAGCCATAATTTTCCAGTTCCTTTGGTTGACAATAGGCTTGTATGCAAACAGGGCAGTGGTGACAATGTGCATGCTTGGATACTTGGAACGTATCCTGAGAAATACCCTTTTCTGCATTCCCAAGGGAAAAGAGGAATTCTTTCCCAATATCCACCACCCTGAGGCGTCTACTATGAAAGGATGGTGTGGAGTGGAGAAAAAGCAGCGAGGCGCAAAGTAAAACAGGGCATAGGGCAAAAATAGAGGCCCCACTTCTGCCATCCCTGAGCTGCTGTCCCCGAGAGCTTGGGGGGTGACAGGACTTTGGGGTCTTGATGCATCACTTAAGTGAACAGAAGATCATTTGTTTGGCAGAACAGCAAGGCAAAGGCTATCAACTCAGGTCCAGCACATGCTCACCTTGCAGAGGCACGGGTGATTATTCAGAAGTTCGAGCTGTTGGCCAGCTCTCCAGCTGTGATGTGCTTTTTGTCCCCCATTTCTAACCTCTGGGGAGCAGATTCCTGCTTGGAGGGTAAGCGTGCTGTGTAATTTTACTCCTACTAATCGCAGATAGATGGACTTTGAGGCACTTGCACTTGCCTGGGAAAGACATACCATAAGCTGTCAGCACCTTCAGACTCCTCAGAAATATTAGAGATCCTAATAGAGCCGCCCTAGTTTGCCATTTCTGTGTGCTGAAATGTTTGAGAGCGCTAAACTGGCAGCAAGTACGACAATGGGCTTGTAAAGATGATGGATGAATGAACTGAGAGGAAAAATAATAATTAAGAAAACAATAAAAATCATGGAAGCAATACAAGCGCATGCAGAATGGCATGCTAATTTGGGGTAATAGTTTGGTTGGAGCTGTTGTAGTCTAAAGGCTGTAAGAGAGGGCTCAAAGGGAGGCATAAAGCTTTTATTTATAAAGAAAATTAAATATGTAAGTGCAGTATAAATAACAGCTATTATGTCTCCTTGCAAACACGGGCATGCTAATTTATTGGGAGTTGCCTTGTCTTAATGTGTGCTTGTTGTCTGTACATATTGAATGGGTGTTTTGGGTTTGCGTGGTGAGGTTTTGGTAGTGGGGGGGCTACAGGGGTGGCTTCTGTGAGAAGCTGCTAGAAGCGTCTCCCATATCCAATAGAGCCAGTGCCAGACAGCTTCAAGATAGACCCACCACTGGCCAAGGCTGAACCCATCAGTGATGGTTGGTAGTGCCTCTGGGATTAACATAATTAAGGGAGGTGTGTGGGGTGTGGAAACCTGCACAACAGCAATTGCAACAGAAGAGAGGAGTATGTGACAGAAACAGCTCTGCAGACCCCAAGTTCAGTGAAGGAGGCCAGGAGGTGCTCCAAGCGCCAGAACAGAGATTCCCTTGTAGCCTGGTGTGCAGTGCTGTGATGATGCTGTGCCCCTGCTGCCCATGGAGGTCCACGCTGGAGCAGATTTCCACCTGCAGCCCATGGAGGGGACCCACAGTGAAGCAGAGGAAAAGTGTGAGCAGGCACAACGTGTGGTGAACTGACTGCAATCCCCATTCGCTGCTGCAATCCCCCTGCACTGCTGGGGAGGAAAGACCAACAGAAACTGTGAGTAAAGTTAAGCCTGGAAAGAGGAAGGGGTAGGAGGAAGGAATTTAATACAAATTTATTAGTAATGAATTAAGGTAGTTTCTCCAAGTTGAGTGTGGTTTGCCCATGACAGTAATTGCTGAGTGATCTCTCTTTGTCCTTATCTCAACCCACAGGCCTTTCCTTATATTTCTTTCTCCTGAGAGGAAGGGGAATGATGAAACAGCTTTGATGGGCACCTGGAGTCCAGCCTGGGTCAACCCACTACATCAGGCAATAAAGTCCCAATGAAGATTTTGTGTCTTTTCTGCGTTGAAACTCATTACAGAAGGAACATGGTGCTAACTTGTGCTGTCTCTCAAATATGTGACTTTTGGGGCTTGCAAGGTCTCCCTCTTTCTTAGCAAACTGCCCCCTCACTTACTGAGAAAGCATAGGATTAATTAATTTAAAGAGTGCTTCAGCACTTTTGCCTTGTGTTCATCCCTCACTCCATCACCCACAGCAATTTCTCTCTGTCTGCCTGGCTCTCGGAACAAACAAAATGACAACAACAGATAGGAATGATGTAATTAGGAGTTGATGTTCCAGTGTTAAGATTGTCAAATCTGCTCCTCCATGAAATGCTGGATAATGCCCCAACGAGGCAAAAGGGTTCTTCTGCTGCCTTTAGCCAATGGTATAAAAAAATAATGCGTGCAAAAGTGGACGAAACGGAATCCAGCTTGTCAACAACTACACTTAAATGGGCTTCAGAGCGCAAGATGCTGGGAGTCAGCAGGTACCTCTGCCAGTTCTGACGTCCAATGCAGCAAAAGTGATGGCGTGTAATGGGCATATTATTCCCTAAAAACACCCGGGGGCTCTGGTGCAGCACTGCATGAAGGGGGAAGTCAGGATCTGTGCTGGAGGTGAGGCTTTGGGGGGCTGCCTCCCCTGGCTGTCTTCAACAGGGTGCCCAAGGAAAGGTAGAAAAACATTTGGGTTCTTCTGCAAGCTAATGTGCACAGCAGCCATCACATAACTGAATATCCTCTTGTTTAAGATTGTCGGCATCCTACATAACCACATCAATACCAGGGGGCTGGCGTCTGCTTCCCAGGCTTCAAGGAATGAGTTGTTTGAGGCCAGACTGCCTCTTCCTCCAGGAAAGGTTGCAAGCAGAAAGGAAAATCTTACTGCCATTACCCCGACAACACCTTCCTTGCACACAGAAAAGATTGCAATCTGCAGGACCATCACGTTGATGCTAGCAATCAGTATGAAGTTAGTTGGCTGTTAAGTCTGTCTTAGCAAGTTGGAAAGTTTCCCTAAGAAAATCAGGAGGATTTCTCTTCCACACTGATGGGTTGTTGGATGGTGAATAGGAATACAGATTTTTCCCTTTGAAAATCTGAAAACGTCCCACAAAAGAAAAGAAAAAGGAAATTACATGACTGAGAAGGAAACTCGGCCAGAAACCCATAGTAACAAATGACTGTAGCAGGGTGGGACAGGCCCCGAAAGAGGCACAGGGGAAGAGCTCTTTGAAGAGCACGTATCTGTGCAGGGCTGCAGCTTGTGTTTATTTCTGCTCTACAATAGAAGTAGTGATGACCTTTACCCAGCAGTGATCCATCTTCTTCCTCATTGTGCCCTATGAGTCTTTCATTATTACAAGTAGGAGAATATGAATGCTTTAGCAATGCCATGCTCTCCATGAATTTTATGGGTGTCTCTGGGTTAAGCCTAATGAACAATCCCCAAGGAGGCAGATAAGCATTGCTGTGATCAACTGGAAAGCAAGAAAGGGCAGAGAAGGGCCATGAAAAGGGCTGGAGCAGCTCTGCTCTGGAGCCAGGCTGAGAGAGCTGGGCTGGTTCAGCCTGGAGAAGAGAAGGCTCCTTAAGGGGAGACCTTAGAGCAGTTCCAGTGCTCTAGGAAGGACATGGAGTGACAGGACAAGGGGGAATGGTTTTAATCTGAAAGAGGGGAGGTTTAGATTAGACATTAGTCAGCTCTTCCCTGTGAGGGTGCTGAGGCCCTGGCACAGGGTGCCCAGAGGAGCTGTGGCTGCTCCATCCTTGGCAGTGTTCAAGGCCAGGTTGGACAGGCCTTGGAGCAACCTGCCCTTGTGGAAGGTGTCCATGGCAGGGAGTTGGAACTGGTTGAGCTTTAAGGTCCCTTCCAACCCAAACCAGTCTGATTCTACAAAACTTCTGGGTGCAACCTTCTCCCTTTTTCTCTGTTCTCTAAGACCTCAGCCACCATCTGCTGAGCTCATCTCAAGAGCTAAGTGGAGCCTGCTCACCCCCTGCAGCTCTTGTGCTAAGGAGAGAGGAGGAAAAGGCACTGTTACGGACAGTGGGGAGGGTGGGATGATCCTGCCTGGGGTTTAGATGACTCTGTGGAGCCAGGGAGGCCTCCTGGCTATATATAGTTATATATGGCTATATATAGCCCAGAGCTGTACAGGAATTTAAGGCTATGGTTTGATGATAAAGATGCTGTGATGCAGCAGGTAGATAGACCAGCAGGCATGGTCCCTTAGGCTGGTACTGGTGCTCTCTCTGAGCTGGCTGGCTAATCCAGCAGAGAATTAGCCACCAGTTGCCAACACCAGCAACAGGAGGTGGTGCTACCATGCTGTCTGGGGACAGGAGGAAAGCTGGATCTCTCCCATGGCAGCAACGAGCCATTGGCACAGCCTCAGCATCCGCACTTCTCAGGCAGTACTGGCTTTGGGAATTCCTGCTCTATGGTGGGTGGGTGCTGCCATGGCTGCCCGGGCCCAGCCATGCTGACAAGGCCGTTTGCAGAGAGCTGAACTGGGTTAAAAATAATCCATAAAAATACCCAAGAAAGCTGCTTATTTATTGTAATATTGGTGCATGCATGTGGATTGCCTTTTACCCAGAGCAGTGCCTGTGTCTTGGGCTGCAGCGACAAATAGGCACTCAAACCATAGCCAGAAACCCAGATCACCTGCCCAAGACCATCCCGATTCTTTAGGGCTTGATGAGACATGTGCAAATAGTGCCTTTTTCAAACACTGGGCTTTGAGAATTTGCACTGGTGTGTTTTTAATGGATAACCAGAAGTGCTTTTCCATATGAAATGCTCTCTCTGTAGCTGGCCCAAAGCAAGGAATGTCTCCGCTCACAAGCACTTCAAAACTCAGTGGTTTGTTTCTAGGCATCCGTCACATG